CTAATACCAGAGATGTCCTAGTTCTTGTCACTTCCTCAGCTTCCTGAACCTCAATACTCTGCCAGTGTATTTTCCTTTGACAAAATATTTAGATTCAGTTTCTGAAGGCAGCCAGGGGTATTCGGCACAGTGATGCTCTTGTATAGCAGAACTCAGTAAAGGAACTGTGGGCTGAAATCTGGCCTGTACTACACTTGGCCTGGACTAACAGGGCTACATTCTCCTCGAGGAAGAGTGACTTTTCCTAATTTACACAGACATTATAGAATGGGCAGTGGTTTTACCCATGACTGACATTTTCAGTTCCAGAAGAGAGGCCTAAAAAATAAGTCATTGCTTGACTTGTCATCTATCATTACAGTAATGCAATGCCATTGATTATTGTACTGCCTTTCTATCAACAGATCAGCTTTTTTTTTTTTTTTTCCTGGAAGGAAAATGTAGAGAATATTCCTGCAACAATTAATTGCTCTATTACTGGGTCTACAACAGCCTCCCAATTACCTACAAAATTCATTAAGTATTAAAAGGTCAGAATTTTAATTTAAAATGTTTAATATTTACAAACATCTACCACTTCATTGTGTTAGTGTTAACGCTTTATATTCATCACCAATAGCAGACTAACAAATCAAGATACTTCCTAAGTATCTTTAATTTCCCACAAGGTTGACGTTCCCCAATTTTATAGGCATAGTATGGATAGATCTGAAATAAAGCTGCACAATGAGTTTTTCATGATTGTTTTTACACTTCCCTTTTTTTCTCTCCCTGTTTTGAGAAAATATTTCTGGAGTATCTGTGCACTAATATATTTATCATGCTAGCACGTGAGTGGCATTTATTGTTAAAAAGAAAATCAGAGCATCACCATTCCTTCCATTGAGAATCTAATGGTTATGCTTCCCTTTCTTTACAAAGCTTTTTCTTACCATAATAGTCTCCAGTATCCCTTTCATGCTTCTTTATGATACTTTTCAAAATCTTTTCCCTCCTCATAAAGAAAATTTTGTTTTCAGGCTTTAATCCAGCTAAGATAAAGTGAGCTAGCTGGTTTCATTACTGTGTAGTTGCTCTATCAATCACTGGGAATCACTAAAAGCAATCAGCCAACAAGGTCAACAGCACTTAGTGGAGGGCTACCGCAATGGTACTTTAGAAGATCAAAATAAAGACTGAGAAAAGGATGACAGTGCTTCACAGCCTTAAGAGGCACAGTATGACTTCTAAAGGAGTCATCTCTAAATGGGGAGAAAATTAAGAAGAGCATCATCTTTATGGCACATTAGGTATCTCATACCAAGTTTTGCTAACTAAAAGATTCATTTACCGGACAGGGTAGGTTCTCATTTCTCAGTACAGTAACACAGAGTCCAAACTTTATTTCATATGCTTTCTACTATAGCAGTTTGTGTTGTGACAGCCAACAAATAATTGCAGAATCTTTCACAAAAAGAAATACCAATTAGGATTAACTCCAATTTTGATTGCTCTTAAGTAGGGCTGAGGTGAGAGAGAGGACAAGACAGGGGATATAGTAGAAGTGAGAGTTTATAAAATTAATGATGATTTTAAGTACCAGGCTAAAAAAGAGGATCCAAAATTTGGGAGTCTCAGAACTATTCAGTGGTTCAATTCTGACAGTTTTCCCCAACTTTGTATCCCTCTGCTGGAGATAAAGTCCCAGAAAGTTCTAGGTCAAATAATTGGCTAAGAATTGGCCATATGCCTTCACTTGTTTGGTTAAGCATGGACAGAGACCTTGATCTTTGCTCCATGAAAACTACAGAAAAATGAAGGTATGTGTGGAGGAAGGATGTGGTTGTGTTAATTATTCATAGGGAAGTCTGGGTGTTGCTATCCATACAAGTATTTATTATGGATGGTGAAGATGAAAACCTTTTAAGGTTTTAATCTTAAAAGCCAGGAGACAACTCAAATTCCATTAACACACTACATAAAACACAAGTAGAATTTCTCTATGGAAACACCCTGGTTTCAATGTAACAGTACCTGATGAACTGTCGCTACATGTAAGTATTTTTGAATTTCTCTTGCAAAGCTATTAGCTTCAGCCTTTTCCTCTATACAATTTATATGTCCAAATATTTAATAAGTACTCCTTTTAAAACTAATGAAATATAGTAACTTATAAAGAAAGTTCAATACAGTGGAAAGAAAACTGGAGAAAATAATTTTTGTTCTGCTAATGTTAACCTAGGGGGCAGGCAGGTCAAAACCACTTTGGGTTTATTATTTCATCTTTAAAATGAAGTGGTAAAGGTACATGTTTTTTTTTAAAGAACATGTCCAATTGTATATATCTAACATCATGATCACACATCTACAGATGACACAGACTCAGCAAACTTAGAAAAGATGTTTATAATTTTCACAGTATGAAGTGACTCTACCCTGAATCTGGAAAGAAAGTAAAATCTAACTTACTTGGTAGTATTTAGGAGAAATTGCCAATATTGTAGAAAATCTAGATCACTGTTATCAAACTTTACAAGAAAGGCTGTAGAATCAATTTTTCAAATGAAATCTTACATTGGATTTGATGTTTAAAACAAATAATGGTCAAAATACTGTAACTGAAAACAAGAGAGGGATGTATAGAGCCCAATCTTCACACCTGGGAACCCCACGTATCATTTATCTAATTCCTGACTATCTCTAGACTTTGCTATAGCTTGTAGTTGTTTTAAAATGAGATTATCAATTTCACCTAAAACAGGAAAAATTAAAAAAAATTATTGTGGATATGTATATAAAACTCCTTTCAGGGCTCTCCCTGGTGGCGCAATGGACTAAAGCATGCATTAGGAAGCTCTACCAAACCACCACAGCAGAAGGAGCTGACCCACAGGGCATGGCAGACCTTTGTTGATCTACCCACTACTACCCTCAGCAATGTACAATCTGCCTGTTCTGCTCCCTACTCTATGGTGCCTCTCACTGCCCCTGTGCCTCTGGACTGTACCCCCATTCTGTATGCATAAATAAATCTTTATAAAAAGAGAGACAAATTACAAATAATGACAGTCAGAAAGCCCTGCAAGATTTAAAACAAACAAAAGACAGCCTATCGATAATTTTAATTTTGAAAATAAAATTGAATACAAATTAATCTACTGGTAAGAATATACATGCTATTATATCAAACAGTGAAAACTTAAGTTTCTAACCTGTTTGACTGGATTCATTTAACAAGCAAACTTGTAAACTGCGAAGAGTCTCTCAAACATATCAAAATTTTAAATGCTTTTAACAAGTTTTAGAAAGAATTTTCTTAGTTTTTTCTTTACCATACACTTCAGAAGATACATACATACATATACATATATGTATGTATATATATATATGTATATGTGTGTGTGTGTGTGTGTGTGTGTATATATATATATATATATATATCTCCAGAGCATAAGCAGTTTAATGTATGCCCTTTTTTAAAAAATCACCAAATGGGGCCCTCCCTGGTGGCGCAGTGGGTTAAAGCACAGCACAAAGAAGCTTAAGCCACTTCCACATGAGTTCGATCCCCGTCTGCCCCCGAGGAGATCCACATGGCGAGACAGACCTCTGCTGCTCCGCCCGCTGCTCCCCTCAGCAGTGTACTTAGTCGATCTGCCTGTTCTGCTCCCCACTCTGCCTTTGGTGAATACTCTCACCCTCCACATCTCTGACCTGTACCCCAGTTCTGTATGAATAAATAAATAAATCTTTAAAAAAAAAATCACCAAATGGGAAGTTACCAAAAATATTAAATGATATAACTATGATTTTTGTGGCTACTGATACTAACCTTCTTATTCTTGGCTATTAGAAAGAGAAGTGATTTTCTGTACATTCCTCTACTTGAAAATAACATCATCAAAATCATTACCTCATCCTAGTAGAAGAAGAAAAGATAAGGGAATAGATATCACAGATCTTATTCAAGTAACAGTAAAATTTCCAAACCTGGTGAAGAACAAAATATTTAAGTATATGAAGGTAAAAAAATACCTGGTTATCTAAATGTAATGTGACCCACACCAAGGCACACAATCATGAAACTGCCAGTAGTCAAAGACAATATTGAAGGTGGATAGTGGGGATAATATTGAAGGTGGATAGTGGGGAGAAAAGCTGATAATGTCTTAAAGTACTCCCATCAAGTTTGCAGCAGACTTCTCAGAAACCATACCAATTGAATGGTAAATTCAAAATATTTAAAAATAAACTACTGTCAGTAAAGAATATTACACCCTGTACTAAACAGAAATTTGTAGAGCATTGCATGCCACCAAAGGCTGAGTATACCTTCTTCTCAAGTGCACACTGAACATTCTCCAGACTAGAGCTCAAGTTGTATCACCAAATAACTGTCAATAAATTCATGAAGAATGAAATTCTATTAAGCATCTTCTCTGATCACAATGGTATCAAACTAGAAATCAATCACCAAAAGCAGGAAAAAAACCTCTAGTATGTGGACTCAGCAAAAAGTATGACAACTAGTCTCAATTCCTGCCATTAATGTGGTTTAATTATCCTAAGATCAAATACCAATTTTAAGACTTGTAAGCTTTAACCAAGAAAACCACCTAAAATTTAAAATCCTAATAAAGACAAAACATGATAGAGATTACCCATTAAAACCATTTCCCAATTTCTGAGGTTTCAAAATCATACCTCACCAATTTAAACTCAAATTTCATGAGGTGGTTATCCCTTTGAGTACTAATTTGACACTGTTAAGGTAACCATTAATATAGGGCCTAATAATGACATTGTAACCACAGACCATACCAGAGAAAATATACATTAAACCATTTCTACATGTGAATTAACATTAGCATGTGTGCCTATGCTTTACTATAACTGTAAACATATCATATATATAAATTACCTTTACAATTTCCAAGTTTCTTACCCCTTACTTTAGCTAATCATCTAGCTTTATCAAGTAGGTAAATTTATATGTTTTAGGAAGAAAAACCATTTATTTAAATCATTTCAAGGCATTACTTTTATTTCAGGTGCCCCACGTCTACCTTGGTTTTTACACTACATTGTGTTACATAAATTTTATAAATTTACTCCAGCATGGTGATTATAGTTCTAAATGAGTAACACATTCATGTTTGAAAATGTTCCTAACATTAGTATTAGTCTTATCAGGAAGAATTCTTTATCAATGAAATTAAATCTCCCAATTATAAAAGCAGATGGTGGCACAGTAATCACTTTGCAGAAATTTAATTGATGCAGTTGTTATTCAGTACCACAGAATGCACATTAACAAACATAATTAAGCCTACTACCTCATTTTAACAGAAGACCTATTCTCAGAATTGTATCAAACAACTCTGGACTTTAAGCAGTAATAATACTCTATCAACCAATGTTACATGAACTAATTACAACAATTTAACATGATTAATATTTTTAAAGCACAGGCTTTAAAGGGTTACCTTAATGCTTTCTAAACTTTCAAACTAAGCTAACTGATTTAAAGAGGTATCTTCTAAACAGAACATTTAAACATATAGTATAAGAAAAGTACTAAATTGGGAATCAGAGGTCCAGCCTCAAATTATTTAACCTCTCCGAACCTTAGTTAACATTAAAAAATAAAGTCATAGTAGAAACTTTCACTGGCTCTACATAATAAAAGTTCTAGAAAATCATGAATAAAAGGAGAAAATAATTAAAGGCAAAAAGAGCAAGAATTCTGCAGTAAACAAAGATTAGATCAAAACATTTATTTTTTATGTTACAAAATCAAAAATAAGTTCAAACAGGTAACGAAATAAACATGTAAGTTTTTTTAAAAGTGTTCCATTCTAGAATTTAGTAAACAGGTCAAGTTTAGATTGCTTCGACATTTCTGGATGTTATGAGGTCTCCATCTTATAACCATGCTTTTCTAGTTCAGCTCTGTAATAAAACAGAAAAGAACATAACTAAACATTTTTTATAAAGAAACAAATGATTTTTAGAAATAGCATAATTAATAAGTCAAGCTGAAAAAAACATTTAAAATACCAAATAGCCCTATTTTAGTCCTGAGAAAGAATATATTCCCCATTAATAAATTTTCCTTACTTTTCTGACAAATCTATTTGTGGGAAAGTGAGGAATTTATCCCCCATATACTTCCAGATACCATACAGATATTCTATTTATAATACTTAAACATAAATTTTAAGAATCACTAACCATATGGCTAAGAATACATGATAATGATAGCCAACTTTTATATTACTTTTCATACCTATTTGGGGCTTTTATAATCAAAATGGAATTACTGTTATTTACACATAAAGATAAACTGCTTTTCAAATCATATGTGTATTGCTATAATCAGGCAAAAAATCTTAATCAAATCTAAGGGTACATGAGACAATCTGCATTAACCATATGTAGGCTAAATAATATAATGAGTTATAAAATATTAAAGATTTTATTTTCCTAACTTAAAATGTGGATAAAAATCTCAAAAATTTATAGTGGTAGAAAAACACAGGACACTTTTAAATTATTTTAATCTAGTCAACCTGGCATTTCAGTAATACATAAGAATGCTAGACAACGCTTTATCTTGTATCTTAAATAATTTCACAAAATTATGTAAGGAACAATTCATAATACATAAATGCATAACTAATATGCCCTGTACATCATTATATCTGGTAAAATAAAAAGACTTGTTCTCAAGTATAATTTGGCTTAGACACTCTCGAATGTAAATACAATGCAAAAGCATTGTAGAAATGATGTATAATATTTATTATTCAATTATTCACTTCCCCAAATTCCTTTACTTCCCTAATATTTTAACAGTTACTTATAATACAAATACTGACCTAATATCCATGAATAATATTAAGGCCATATATTATTCAAATGAGGGATCTTTGTCTTCTATTCAAGTGTGAAGGACGGTATGAACTGGTGGTAAAATGCTTCATCAAGAGTCAAGAGATCAGTACAAGTTTCTACCTATACCCCTTCCTTTGCTGAATTTTAATTTACAATGTTTACTTTGTCCCTCACCCTCACAGGAAACTGATGGTAATACCTGTACTTCATATGTTGCTTTCTTAAAATGGAAGCACACTTAAAATCTCTTAAACATAGTTTTCCCTTGTTTTTAACAAAGTCAATATAGATTGTGCATTTTCTTTAATTTTAACTACAAAAAAAGATATATCCCCAAAGTTCAATTTAATATGTAGGTAACAAGTACACAAAACCTATCCGGGATTGTGTCTTCTCTTTTCTGAAAGAAGGTGATTACCTTTTATAAATGATAAACACAAAAGAAATGATAGGCCTTTCTATGAGCTAAATTCTCAGGGACAGAAAGTTCTTTGCTAGACTTTAGGGCTCTAAGAAACCAAAAGGAAAATAAATCAAGACCACTAAGCACAAAACAAAAGTACAATAAAAAAGAAACACTAATATCATGAGACTGTTGAAAGAAAAGTCCAGAGAAAAGAAAAACAATTGGAATGCTATCACAGATACATGTAGAATGTACATTGTTTGAAACAAAAATAGCATTCCTTTTACAACAAGATCAAGAATAAGATATATAGTAGATCTGAGAACTCATCTTATTTTCTAAGAAATTTGTATTACAATATCTTTATCTGATATGATAATCAGGACTATATTGGTCTCTTAAAGCTTTTATGTAAGATATGGTACAGGAAAACCTCAATCTTATCTATTTCTAGTGTTATAAAGAGAAACAATATCAGAAGTAGCAAAAATAGAATGACTTTTAGTTACCTAGAGACACACTGACGTTTCACTCTGTACTTTTACTTGTTAAAGGTAATTACACTGAGAAAGCAGGGAAAGAAGAAAGCCAAGTCCTAGCTAAGCACTTGTTCAATACTGGTGACGTTATCAACAATGTTGTGGACAAAAAATCATGACTCAATGAGGGAAATTAAAACAATCATATTTACTAATGAAAGTATCAAGATTTATGCACTTACAAAAATCAATAGCACTGTGGAGGTATATTATATAAAATTGCCACAAAGAATATGAATATGGACCAAAATATGGATAATGCTCTACTTCCAAACCAATAAAAAGGCAAAATGACTAGTGATAAGAAATCTAATTATCAATACATTTACTGCTTAAGCTCTCAATAAAAGTATTCAATAGCATCTTAATTTGTAAGAGAAAAGTTCTATTTTCTGACTAATAAAGGACTAATTTGACTTCTGAATAGCAAGAGTTAAGCTTAATTTAATCTCAAAATACATTAAGCGAAAGTAAAGTTTATAGTCTATATAGAGTCTATATGATTAAGATTATAGGAAAGACATTAAGAGTTGGGAAGCCCGAAAATCTTCTAACAGCATTATATGATTCTATTAAGAAAGGGGAGAAGCACTTTAAAAAATGATATCAGGGTATTATCTGTTGTAGCTCAATTTCAAAAGGATAAAAAACAAAAATAAGGATGGGGCAAGAACTTGAACACACAGAATTTAATCCTAGATTGGGCTCAGATACATAATAGGAACAAAAGGGGCTTTTTATAGTTACATATATGGAAAAAGAAGAATGAGAAGAGATACTTCCAATACTTGGAATAGGTGGTATAATATTCACAGATTTTAGAAGGAAAAAACAAAAGCTATAGCTCCCATCTTGTCCAAAAAACTAAAAAAGTAAAAACAACATCATTAAGACAAAATTGAAAACTAAGACAGGTGAGATAACTCCAAACTGCATTAAAGTCGTTTTAAAGTCTCAAGGCTCTGAATAATTACATCTCATGGTACTGAAAGAACAAAGATATAGTCAAAAATCAGTCTTTGAAAAATCATGGAGAAAAGTACCAGAATAACAATGAAAGATAAATTGTACTATTTCCAAAAAGAGGAGAAAGGATATGGGTAAAAATGTTATTAGTCTCCAGTAAATATAAAGACTTTAGAATGTAAGTGTTTTAGGTCCATTTAAAAACAAAACAAAACATGCAGGGCAGAACAAAAGCTACTTTATCATTTTAAAATATGTATTTTAAAACATACAAATTGTCTCACTTCTTTAAGTGTACTAAACCAGAAAATTAACAGATGAAAACAGATCCTCTGTATCTTGATGTGAAAAGTATATGCAATCTACCTTAGATATCTTTGTGGCCAAGCTAGATACACATGGTTTAAACCAAGATAAATTTATGGAGGAAAGAACTGTTTCTATAACAAAAGGGCTGGTCCATCTAGATGTCCACAGGAAAGAATGAAAATGGATCTTCATATTATACTCAAAATGGATCAAACAACAAAATATAATAGCTAAACAGAAATATTACTTTGAATTTACAACTGAATCCTTCAAAAATAGACAAAATGGACTTTAAAACATGCAGAGAAGATGAAAAAGTAAAGGCAATTTAACAGAAAAGGAAAAAAAAATTGTAAATAATGTTTCTGATAAAGGCCTAAAACCCAGGATATAAAAAAGAACTCTTACAATTCAACAACAAAAAGACAACTCAATTTCAAAATGGGCAAAGGATCTGATTATGTATTTCTCCAAAGAAGCTGACCAAAACTATATGAATAACCAACATTCTATGAAGTGACTCATTTCTAATGATTATGGAATTGAAAATTAAAATCAAAATGAGCTATCAGTTTACACTCGCTACAATAGCTACCACCTAAAAAAAATAAAATAACAAGTCTTGGTATGAATGTAGAGATTAAAAACCTTCATAAATTGCTGGTAGTGATATAAAATTGTCAGCAGCTATGGTAAAGTTTAACAATTCCTCAAAAAGTTAAAACACAGAATTATAATACAACCCAGAAATTCTACTCCTAGGATTACATTCCTGGAACTATAAACTGAGTAACATTCAAACAGAACTTCTACACGACTGTTCAAAGCAGCACCATCCACAACAGCCAAAAGCTGGAAATCTAAATGTCCAACAAATAACAAACAGATAATTATAGCATATCCATACTTCGGAATATTTGTCATAAAAAGGAATGAAATACTGATATACGCTGCAACATGGATAAACCTAATGAGATTATGCTCAGTGAAAGAAATTAAACACACAAAATCACTTACTGTATAAAACCAGTTATATGAAATATTTAGGACAGACAAGTCTGTAGAGACAGACAGTAGATTAGTGGTTGTCAGGGACTGAGGGTTTGGAGGAATGCACAATGTCTGTTTAATGGGTATGGTGTTTCCTTGTGGAGTGCTGATGATGTTTTGGAATTAAGAGATGATGGCTGCATAACACTATATGAGTAAACAAAATGCCATTAAAAATAGTTAAATTTATGTTACATCAATCATCAAATAGGTAGACATATATGAAAAGTACATGTAAATGGAAAGTACATTGATCACCAATCTAGCACTCTACGATTCTGATTTCTGCTGAATTCAATATGATTAGAAAATTAATAATGACAAAGTTAAACCTGCAAGGCTAAAAAAAAAAAAATAGCAAATATGCTTCTCTTTAGCTACCTTCATAAAGACACTAGAAGGAAATAAGATTTTAAACAATTACACCAAGCATTTAAACTTAGAAACTTAGGAAATGAAGGTGACTCTATTTTGTTTTTCATAATACGAAAACATATTTCAAACATTAATTATCCTTTAAGAGGTCAATTATCACAGGCAAGTTACATATTCCATATTCACAATTAATACTAAGCTATATAAAAATATGACTTAAAACTTACCGTAACTGATTGGAAAAGTCATCTTCTACATTGTCATCATCCCAATTATCCTCCCAGACATGTGCATCTTCATCTTCATCTAAACCAGCCCAGTCTAAAATCAGAAACAATGTCTAAATAGTTTTCATATTATTTCCACAATAACACTTCAAAAAGTTTGTTACTCAAGACTCACAATTCAAAACAGCTATTATCTTATCTATGAGAAATGAGTCTTACTTTTATTTAAACCTCTATTTATAATGCCTTGTTCTCTCAATTTTTGAATTTGTAGATAATCTAAAACAGAAGTTATACAAAGACTTTCTATTTGCCATGAAAACTTCTAATTTCAAGAGGATATTTACTTTTCTGATTTTCTTTTTGGCTAATTTTTATAAAGATGGCATCACCATTTTTCAAAATAGTATACCAACATTAAAGCAAGGTGAGCTGAACATAAAAAAAGAGAGATAGTTCTACACAGGAAGTAAAAAGTAGACCAAACTAGAAGGCATCACTAACATTTGCCTACTATGACCAATATAAATTTTTATTTTTAAAGGAAGGATAAATATAAGTAAGCAAAGATTAATGCTATACTTTTTAATTTTGGGGACTGTTCTGCTTCCTTTTTTGGTGATGGGGGTTAGATTTTAGCTTTCATTTAAAAATCAGAAAACATAGGTCAGTCCCCAAATAAGGAATAACCACTGAGAGTATAGTAAAAACACAAAAAGTTAGAAACAGCTAGTTACACAAGGAGAAAAGATCATATGGCTTTCCTAAAAATTTCTTTATCAGAGAGCAGTTAAATATAAGCTGCTTCCTCCCCACATCTCCTTTATAATCTTAAATAAATATACTTCTCAACTGAAGGCTTGCTGGTCCTTTAGCACCTCCTGAGTGACATATTTCAACAATATGTTGTCAATATGTTTCCTAATCCTTCTGTACCACAGGCTTTTTGAATTTTAGAATTCTACATAAATTCCTACTGGAAAAAACTCCACATAACCAAAACTTGTATCTTCAGCTTCCCCACTCAAAACTATGTTTTCCTGGCCTGAAGAAAAACACAGATGCATCCAGTTGGTCACACCAGGGGGATGGGGTGTATTGTCCTAAATTGTCTTCTCTCTCCATGACAAAGTCCTGCTCAATTTATTTGCTAAATTATCCTGAAACTATCCTTATCTTTCCTTCCCTATCACCACTGTTCTAATCAGACTTTCACACAATCACTTCTTACCTGTACAATGGCAATATTTTACTAATAGATTTATTCTTGCTTCTCTCTTGACCTGATATAAATCTAGTCTCCAGGGTGATAATGTCATTAGTGTTCTTCTAAACAAAAAGACAGCTCTACACTGATAGTAAAAAGCTAAACTAAAAGGTATGTTAAAAAAAAAATTACAGGCCCTTCCTGGTGGTGCAGCAGGTTAAAGCACAGCACTAAGAAGCTAAAGACACTTCAGCATGAGTTCAATCCCTGCCTGCCTTGGAGGTGACCAGATGGCACAGCAGACCTATCCTGACCCGCCTGCTGTTCCCTCAGCAGTATATTTAGTCAGTGGGCCTCTTCTGCTTCCCACTGTCTCTGATGAAACTTCTCACCGCCCCTGTAGCCTGTACCCCAGTTCTGTATGCATAAATAAATAAATCTTTAAAAAAAATTACAACAAAAACAAAAACCCCAGAACAAACCATCCCAGAACAAAGTTTATACATACTCTAAAGTTAGCTAGTCAACCCGACCTCTACATAGTTTTATGTTATTTTTTAAATTATATGAGGTACTTCTTTTAAAATAAAAATTTTAAATTAAGATTCAAATTCACTGGAATAACATTGTCATGCTAGCCATGGGCTTGAAGTACTCTTAATAAACTTTGGACGGCATGTTTTGAAAATGCTCAAAATTTCTATTCATCAAACATTTCTTGCTGTTGCACATCTCATTTTTTGTGCATCTTTTGAACTCCCCACTGGGCATGACTTCTACTTACTCTGAATTAGCTCAAATACTGTTCTCCATTAAAATGAATAATAGTTCCCTTAAAATGAATAATGGTTTATTTCAGATATGGAATATGAAATTACTAGGTAAGTCTGAGATTTCTTTATACTGCCCAAAAGCATGTCAAAGGAAACAGAAATTGGCTTACAGGTGTTTTCACTGTCTAAATCTGGAAAAACCTGAAAATCATAAAGAGTGATACAACAAATTAAACAAAAAAATAAAAATCCAAAGCAATATTTGGGAAAGAAACAGAGATGGGACTACTTTTTATTGTTACCAGCTGTATATATGTAGAAAAATGACAGAATTAGACAAATCACCATTTTGCAACCTTTTTCATTGTAGGGAAAGATCAACAATGGATACTAAAGTGATTGAGTGACAAATAGCTGGAAAACTAGATACTTCACTAATTATAAAGGGAAATGGAGAGACCTAGTAATCACCTTTTTTTGGCTCCTAGTTTTGAGAACTGACTTACCTCATAGAATAAGTTGAAGGCCTAGAGTATAATGGCCTCATTTACATGTGTTGTGAAATGATTACATATATCTATCTAATATGCATCTTTTTATTATAGATAAAAGGAAAAAAATCTTCTGTGATGAGAACTTTTACTAACTTTCCTCTTATAGTATATAACAGTTAGCTATAGTTAACATTTTGTATGTCACATTGCTAGTATAAGCTTATATTGTAACTAGAATTTGTGGAAATCTTCACCATAAGTCTGGTCTCTTTTTTTGTATAATTTTTTTTTTTTAGATTCCACATAAAAGTAAAATCCTGCAGTATTTGTCCTTATCTCACTTATTGCACTTAACATTATGCCTTCAAGGTGTTCCATTTGCCCCAAATGGTAGGATTTCTTTGTTTTTTTCACAGCTGAATAATATTCAATTGTGTATGTATATCTATGTCTGTATGTCTATCTATCTATCTAGATGTGTATATCCATCCACTGATGTACATTTAGATTGTTTCCATGTCTGACTATTGTAAATAATGCTGTTATGAATATGGGATGCTGGTGTGTTTTTCTTTGTATATATTCCCAGAATTGCACGATCAAATGTTCAGTTAAAATGCTGTGGCTTAAACTCTAAGCCATCTATCTTCCATACTGTTTTTCATTGTGGCTGCACTAATGTACTTTCGCACCAACAATGCACAAGAATTCCCTTTTCTTCAAATCTATGCATCATTTGTTCACTTTATTTAAGTATGTTATGGCCATTCTAACAGGCATAAAGCAATATTCTCACTGTAGTTCTAACTGCATTTCCTTAATGACATCTTTCCATATACTTGATAACCTTTCACATATCTTTCAGAGAAATCCTTTGCCCATTTTTTTAACTGAAATGCATGACTTCTTCTTATGCTTTGTAATTAACCCCTTATCAGATATATACTTTACAAATATTTTTTCTAGTTTTTTCACTTTGTTGAGTTTCTTTTACCTTGCAGAAGCTGTTCAATTTGATGAAGTCCACTTGCTTATTTTTTTAATTGTTTGTGCTTTCCATGTATAATCCTTGCATTCACCATCTTAATGGCAATCACATGTAACATTATCAATAAAATGGGACAACTTTACATGTGTTTATTAGTGTGAAGTAGTAAGAAAGGTACCTGTATAATACTCTTGCTAAAATGTTGACCCTATATCTAATGATAAGGAAACTATCAGGCAAACCCAGATGGTAGGACTTTCTATTGATATATCTGTCCTCTTCAAATAAATTCATGTCATGAAAAATAAGAATGGTTCTAGATTTAAAGCTAAAGTGACTTAACAATCAAATATAACACATAAGTAATATAATGGTACAACAGACTGGGAAAAGGCAGTGAGGCATTTTTTAGAAGAGTTGGTACAACCTGAATGGACAAAGTCTATTTGTATATTTTAATGTTAATTTTCTTGGGTATGAATATAAAATTGTTTGAGAGAATAATGTCTTCAATCTTTAGGACAAAATACAATGAAGCAGAGTCAGGTGTCATTTTGTCAAGTTTACTTGCATATACGTTTGATATAAGTGTAGAATTTAAGGAAATCTTAACTGGTGAATCTTAAGTGTTTGTTGCCCTCTTTTTCTATCTTTTTATAGAGTTGAAAGTTTCAAAATTAAAATGTGAGAATAATTTTGAAAATATGGGTTTGGAAATCACCTTTTGAAAGCTTCCCAGTTCCCCTCACCTCTCCCCCGTGCATTCACAAATTACTAATTAATTACTTTATATATCTATCATGTACAATCGTAATTCAACTCTACTTTATCTCTGTATTAAGCTACAAACAGTCCCATAATGCAAAATAAATGACTATGAGATATTACCACTCTAAATCAGTCCTTGTATATTTTTGTTTGATCTTTCCCCTCCTAAAACAATAATTATGAGTTGCACATTCTCTTTAAGAATGCCCTAGCCATTAACTTTATCTTAGTAGTTACTTATTAGCAACATGGCTGAAGACATTTCAATATGAAAAGAAAAATAAATAGATATAAAGATACTGATGCTTTTCTTATACTTACAGATTTAATTAAAGCAATTCAACAATGGCTCATAATGTGGGTGTTTTGTTCCAGTAAAAATTTTAAAATGCAGCATGTCATCAACTAATCTGAAATCAGGAAAAAGTAGCTCCATTTACCTGGCCTCCTGAAGTAGAAACTTGGGAGGCATCTTAGCTATTCCTTCTCTTTCAACTAACATTCATTATGTCTTTTACATTTCAGCTCCCAACTATCTCCAGAATTAGTCTTCCTCCTCCTATTCTTACTTGACACTATGTTAATTTAAAATGGAGTAATCCATTTATGGACTATTATAGTAGTCTTTATGTAACACCCTTGCCAATCTTATAGCTTATTTTAACCATTCACTGATGATGACCACCATTCCTTTCATTACTATCCTAAACCTTCAGCTGGAACCAGATTTTACTAAATTTGCAAATCTTAATTCCTGTAACTGAGTGCTGGACATAATAGCGGATTCTCAATAAAATGATGGGCTAATGGAACAGTATTTCTAGAGTTTCTTCCCTTTGAGTAGTCAACTCAAACAGAGGTAAG